TCTTAGATTTGGTATTTTGATGCTGTCCTATAACTCTTGGATATTCTGTTCATGGTTTCTAACTATCTTCATTGTGTGATCAACTTTATTTTCCAGATTATATACTTTATCTTCATTATCTGACATTCTTTCTTCCAAGTGAGCTAGTCTATTGGTTATGCTTTCTATTGAGTTTTTTATTTGATTTATTGTATCCTTCATTTCAAGGATTTGACTGGTGTTTTTTTTTTCAGAGTATCTCTCTCTTGGAGTAATCTTTTGCTACCTGTATTTGCTCTCTTATCTCATTGTTGGAGTGATCAATCTTTGCTTGTATTTGCTCATTTAGGTCTTCTTTAATTCACTGATCATTTTAATTATGAACTTTCTGAACTGCTTCTCTGACATCTCATCAACTTTGCTGTSCATGGGTTCTGTTATCAGAGTGTCCTGGTTTGTTTGGGGCACTTTCCTCCCTTGTTTATTCATGGTGTCTATGTCTTCCTTTCTTGCAGAGTGGATCTGAGATATTAGTTTCTTCCTTGTATTCTTGTAGTACCTGTGCATATTGTCTGTACCTCACCTTGATGTTGGGCTTACAGACCCTGTTGGTGTCCCTCAATGAATGCTACTGCATCCTGGATCTGGATCCTGCTTAAATTGGAGTRGGTGGATCTGGGCCGCTTGCCTTGACCTCCCGCGGTAGTCTGCTGGTTGGAAGGGGAAGTCCTGTGCCAAAGGATAGGCTGTGGTGGTGTCTGTCCCACCTGGGGAGGGGTGAACTAGGCCTACTGAGAGCCTGATTCCCATATAGGCTAGTGTGGGCAGTCTGGGCTGGATCTTGGCTCCCCCGGTAGTCCACTGGTCAGAAGGGGTGGTTCTGCACCAGAGGCTACGCTCTATCGAGTATCTGCCCCTCCAGGGAAGGGGTGGACCAGGCCTGCTGTGTTTCTGGGCCCTGCAGAGGCCAGTGTGAGTGGATCTGTCTCCCATATTTAGAACATGGCAATACCATGTATAAAAATTGATAAAACAATCAGGATTACAGGAAAATCTCAATACTAAATAAGTATATAAAGCATGCTCTCCTAACACAACATGGAATAATTGCTTACTTTTTTGTTTCCAATATGTTATGTCTTAATATTTTATATTCATAAAGTCTAGGTACGATGAGCCTATTAGATGATCTGTTATATAGCCTCATTAGAGTATTGCCTAACTCAACTAATCTTACGCCAAAAGATCAGAATCCTTGTCATCATATTTATGTTTTCTACTTGTTTTTTTTTTTTTAGGTCTTTCAGTCATTGATTTCCAATTTGCCTGTTACTCAGACTGTAAAATTGTGAGATTCATAAGCTTTAATAAGCCCTTCATGACCTATTATTTAGGCTTTTAATTTTTCTTAATAACTTTCACTTCAGATGTATTAGGAATTCTCTTTCCCATGTGTGTCTTTCAAACATGTTTGGAGTAGGTGTCTTTAAACACCAAAACCACAAACATATTTTAGTTTGTAAAGTGGGCATTGAACTGATTCACAAAGTCCTTCCCTAGAAGGCTTTTCTTGTATCACTCTATTAATTTTTACTAGATTTAGAGAAATAGATATTCTGCTATAAAAATTGATTATTTTTGTTTCTTAAACTTATTTGTATGAAAAAAACAGGAGTAAAAAAGTAGTGTATCTCTCTCCATGTAATTGCATGTGCCTCTGTATACACAGTGTACATATATTCATATATTTGTTTTTATATTCCACATGTGGATAATACTTGTCTCTTTCTGTGCATCATCTGTTTCCTGTGACTATCAGATAACGKAAATTATTGACCTCAGCACATCTATTGGACAAATAAATGACACAAATTATTCATATTATTCTGATTATTTATATAAAGTATAAGAAAAATTAACTAATGAATTCAGACCTGTCACTCAATTTTCTTTTTTTTTTGGTATCCAATTTCATGTATATGAATTTGTATTTGAATGGTTTAAAAATATTTAAATAGTTAGATTTTGAATATAGTATATGTTGTTGTATACCAAATGCCCATGACATATAAGTCCTACAAATTTAATTCATTTTATATTTAATAGTATAATAGCATATACCAAAATATAAACTTTTGTATAGTTAGAATGCATGGCTTTTACTGTTTGGGGTTGTTACTTTGATTAGGTTAAGCTACTGATATTTTAAAAAATTATATTCTGAGACATAAAAATAGCTATTAATTGGATTGGTATGTCTGGTGGGTTATATTTAAATCTTACAGTGTGATGTTAATTAGTATAAAATTCTACAATAGGACTTAGCTGTGGACCTTTACGATAGAACTCTCCTAGATGGATAATTTACTGTGTGACAACAAATGTTGTCAGATGGTGCTTCAAGTCTTGGTGGAAATCAGGTAAGAATGTAGAAGCCAAACCCCTTCTTAGTTACATGGAAAGCAGCTGAACTAGTTTCCTCCCAGATTGTGTATTTGTAGTCATCTTCAAGCAGGGGAGATATTGTAAACTACTGTTCTTAATGTATTATGAATAGAGTACTTAATTTTGGTTTGGAATTTTTATTATTGCTTCAAAAGATCATTGTATATCAAATTCTATTTCTATATTCATTGGTATTGGGTTAAGTAAAGTTTATAACTCAAGGTTTGTCTACTGAGACAAATTAAAGGGTATAAAAGTCCCCAAATCACTTTGGATTCAGAAGTGTGRTATCCTAAAAGGAACTTCAGTAGTCATGCAGAAAGCTCATTTCCTATTGCTGTTCTCAGGGGCTACTTTCATAGTTTCTTMCTCCCAATGACTGCAGTCCTGGAGATTATTGTAAATATGTGCTGTCGAACTCTCAGGCCATATTTAACACTATTTAATGAAATCCATGTCTTTTTGCTTATGAGTACTTAATGTTTGTAAATATTTATAGATATTTTTAATTTAAAAATATTAACACGTTTCTCATGATGAAAATCAGTGTCAGACATTCATTTTAAGCCATCAATTTAAAGAGGAAGACTTCTGCTTACTGGGCAAGAAAAATTATTTGAAGAAGTATTTATCATATAATATGAATTATATATATAAATCATTATTATATAAAATAAAACAAAATTTCTCACTAAATTCCTGTTTCTGYTTTCCTCAATAGCTAAAGAAATGACTTTAGTGAAAATTTCAGTAATATATTTATAGTATAATTTAGATATTCTATCTCAGCAAAGGCTATTCTATGACAAGAGTTTCTAACAAAATAGGAAGCCAAATCTTTTCTTTCTATATTAGAGATAAGTAAGTTTTTTTTTTTTGTGTGTGTGTGTGTGTGTGTAATAGTGCCTAGAATATAGCAAGTGCTTTGTAAACATTGGGTATCATTTTTATTGTGTATCATGTAACTCATGAAAGTGTTATATGCCTTATTTGAGTTTCCTGCAATAACAGAATTAAAAATTAGAATTAAGGGCTAGGTTTGTGGCTCAGCGGTAGAGTGCTTACCTAGCATGTTTGAGGCCCTAGGTTGATCCTCAGCACCACATAAAAATAAATAAATAAAGGAGTCCAACTATAACTAAAAAATAAAATATTTTTTAAAAATTATAATTAAGTGCTTTTTTACTCAGAATTTGAAAAGTCATTATATTATAACTTGAGAACACCACATTCTAAGCTTGTAAAGTTATTCTGTCACCTCATTCTTCATTTCTTAGTGAAGAAAACAGATATCTTTTGTATATACCTCATTGCTGTGAAATTCTGTAAAATTTTATGTTAATAAATTGATGGAGTATAAGCACAAAGGCAATTTTAAATAACTACAAATAACTGCTGTTTTTGTAGACACACTGGGTTCTGCCCCCATCCCCCTTTTTTTATACCACAGATTGAACCCAAGGGTTCCACATTCCCAGCTCTTTTCATTTTTAATATTGAAACAGAGATTACAGGCATGTGCCACTGCACCCAACTGGGCTCTGCCTTTTTAAAAAATGTGCACTGTAGTTTTAGTGAATGAATATTTTCTCATTTCCTTCTCATTTTGAGTTGAGTCCTGACTAAAACAAAATAACCTCTGAGCATAAGTATACAAATGRTATTTAATATCAAATTTTTCAAATCTGTAAGTCTACTCTTATGTGTATTAATAGAYCTATTAAATAGATTATTTAAACTATATGTGCTTTCCTATAAATATTATCATAAAATATATTTTAAGAAAATTAGATGGGATTTGACTACCTTGTGAAATAGATATTTGAGCTTTTCACAGATCATACATATTTGGAATTGATAATTTTTCCCTTTACATGAAAAGTGAATAACTAACAGAGCTGCATGTATGTTCTGAGCTTATGTTATCCTAAAGAGCCAAATATGAAAAAGGGTTAATAATAAGCTTTCATTAACTTTTTACTTGTAAATGAACTTATTTTCTAATATAATTCACTTCTAATTAATTACCTTAATAAAAAATTGGCCTCAAAATATCATATAAATGAGGAAATTAATTATTTATTACTCACATTCTTTAAACTTCAGAATTATAGGAATTTGTAATAATTTTGTTGTTTTTTTTAATAACCATCTATAATCATACTAAAATATTGAAGAATTATAAACTAAAACACTGGTCATTATTATTCAAACTTTGTTTCTTTATTAAGAATAATCTATAGATTTTCTGCTTTTTTTGAGAATTATAAATAACTCAATGATAAGTTCTCATTTTGTAGTCACCTGAATAATCAAAAATAGTGTGAGATTTTAATTTATTTGACAAATTATTTTCCTTTTCTACTTTGCAACAAGTAAAACATATATACCTCCAAAGAGGGTAGGAAGGAAAGTGTAATAGAGATCATACTAAAGTCATGATGAAGACAAAATTTAGGGTAAATATTGGGAAGAAAATTAACCAGAAATTTAATAAACTTGAAACCATTAAAGAATTCTCTACAAATTCTTTTTTGTTAGAAAAATGCAAGTAGTATTTTGTTTTTATTTTGCAGGAAAAGTTACCATAGTCTTGACCAGTTGTCAGCAGAAGTTAGCCTTTCTCAGACTTCATTGGATCCAGGTCAGTCACAAGAAGGAGAAGGAAAACAAGACCCATTGAATTTCATCAGTGAAGGTAAGAAAAAAATTGAGTCAAAAGTTATCTTTTTAATACTATTTATGTTTTCATTACAGACAAGGTCAGAGAATAAATACTGGCATTTCTGTGAAGCATGCTAGAAATCAAGTTGCCTTATGATTAGAAATGGTCTGCCTTAGTTTCTTTCTCAGGTGCCTTACCTTCTCAGAGACTCATCTATGTTACTGAATTATTAGTAATAATAAAGAAAACAGAAATTCTAGGCACTTACAAGGGGAAAAGAATGAGATGGGTAGTAACCTCCTCTAATTTTGCAGTGATAATAATTAGAAAAAATAAAGACTTTTCTAAATAACAATTTTTTTTAAAAAAAAGGGAAGAAAACATGTCATCATGTAATAATTTAAAAAACAGCAAATAAAACAGAAGCAAAATGGTACATTATATAGGAAAGAACACCAAAAATGCATATAAAATATCAAAGAAAATATCATGTAAATAAAGGTAGTAAATGTAACAACACATACATAAAAAATTATAATAAATTTAAGTTATTCAGAAGGTCAACATGTAAAGAGATAGAGGAGGACARTTAAAACACAAAGAAATCAGGTGTAGACCTGATATCAGATAAGTAGAATTTAAGTCAAAATGCATTAAACATTACAAAATAGTCATGTTTTAATGCTGAATGCCACAATAAAGATATAAAAGGATTATGCACCTAACAATGGCATCCACTTTTATACAAGATAAAAGGAGAAATATAAACTAGTGACAATAAGAGATTTAATATTCTCWTCTCAGTATAAGAAAATCAAATGGACAAAAACCTGGTAAGAATATATAAAAGACCTATAGCAGAATGTTATAGTTTGGACTGTAAATGTCCTTCAAAGGCCTATCTGTCAAAGACCAAGTCTTCAACTTGGTGCTGTGGGAAGGTGGAAACTTTATAAGAGGTAGGTCCTAGTGGGAGGTCTTTTGATCATCGGAGAGCATGCTCTTGAAAGAAAGTGATACCCCAGCATATCCTCTTCTTTTTTCCACTTCTGACCATGAGGTGAGCAGCTTTGTTCCCTACAATAGTGTGGTGCCTCTCTAAGCCCAAAGCAATAGGGCCAATCATTAATTAACTGGAACCTCTGGAACTGTGAGCCAAAATAAATCTTTTCTTTTTTTTAACTTTTTTTTAGTTGGACACAATACCTTTATTTCATTCATTTATCTATCTATCTATCTATCTATTTATTTATTTATTTAATTTATTATGTGGTACTGAAGATCAGACCCAGCGCCTCACACATGCAAGGCAAGTGCTCTACCACTAAGCCACAACCCCAGCCCCATAAATCTTTTCTTTTTAAAAGTTGATTATCTTAGGTATTTGTTATAGTGACGGAAAGCTGACTGCCACAGATATAAAAGACCTAAATAACATAATCAGTAAGGTAGATCTTATAATATTATGGAACTTTACACCCTGATTGTATAGATAACATTATATAGATATGTTATTATTATATAGATACCTTCTTAAGTACAAATAGAATACTAACAAAATGATCATATATTAGATCATAAAGAAAATAATAAATTCAAAACGTAAAATATTGCAAATAGTATTCTCTGGTCACACTGTAAGAGAACCCTACAAGTTATTCATCATGATAATTCTTTTGTTCAAAAGGGCCTTTCACTTGGAAATAAATAAACCTATTAAATGACCCTTGGATAACAGAAATTCAAGCTGAAATCATGAATATCTAAAAAATAATGACAATAGATTTTTATGGAGTTGATTTCAAGCAATAACCAGAGAAAATTTTATATTTTATATACTTTTGTTAAAAAAACAAAATAAGATAAATAAATTCTATTTTTTGGCTCACAAAGCTGGAAAAATAACAACAAAGTAACCAAAGCACAAGAAAAGAAATAATAAAGATAATATCACAAACAAATGAGATAAAGAATAAAAAATAGAGACTACTTTGCAGATCTCTATGCAAATTCATTTGAAAACCTAAATGAAATGGATAATTTCCTCTGTAAGTATACTTCACAGAATTATTTGCATTAGAGACAGAAAGCTTAAAACACTATCCAGGAAAAAAAATAGAGCTATGTAAGAACTACTCAATAGAAAAGGGCCAGGCTCATGTGATTTCTCAGAAGCATTCTACCTAAACATGAAAGATCAAATATTCCCCCAATGCTTTATAAATTACTATTCCAAAATGAAGGAAAACTTCTTAATTATTTTAGGAAGTAAGTATAGCCAAATAAATACACTATAACAAATAAAAACTATAGATTAATATTACTTATGGATATTGTTACAAAAGTTCTAAGTAATATATTAATGAACAGAATCCAGCAACAAATAAAGAAAATGTTATATCACAATCAGGTGGATTTGCTCCAGAATGTTTGGAATGTGAAGTGATCAATATTAGAAAATCCTCTAATGTCACAAATACTATATTAATAGATCTGAAATAGCAAAGGCAATCTCCATAGATGCAATAAAGGGCCTTGGATAGAATTCAACACTTGTGTGACAAATAAGAATATTCAAGAAAAATACCTTATTTACATGAATGTATGCGTATGTGTGTATGTATGTGTATAACTTTTTCTTAAAACTAGTGTCTTACTTAATGGGGAAATACTTAGCTGAGGGACAAAGTAAGGCTCTATATTGTTTCTACCATAATTTCACATTATACTGATAGTATTAGGCAGTRCATTTAGAGAAGAAACCTTAAGTAAAGACATGAGAATTATGTTTTGGAGATGATTTTATGAACTTGGAAAAACAGAGAAGTAATACAACTAAATGCAGCAATAAAAGAAGTCCTGAAATGTAGCTAGATACAGAATTATCATGCAGAAATCTGTAGTCCTGACTTACCCAAACAGTGATCAGTGAGATACTCTAATGATCAGGGAAAACAATTTAAATAGCAACAAAGATAAAGTACTTAGACTTTGCACATATCTTGTGAAATTTATAAACTGTTCTTAAGAGACTCAAAAGTAGATTTGAGCAAATTGAAAGAAATACTTTTTTAGTTCCCCCTAAGTTTAGAGTTAACTCAGACCTGTAAATGCTTTTGCTTTCTAATACAGCAACCATACATCTACGAATTTACCCTGAAGATACATTTAATCAGTATGAAAATATGAATGCCAAGATTATTAAGCTACCTTGGCATTCCTTCCTTTTCTATACTTTTACCTAAGTGCTTAACACATTTTAAGGAATTTTTCTAGCTACTGCTATTCTAAAATTTAAATTCTTGGGCTGGGGTCGTAGGACAGTGGTTGAATGCTCACCTCACATGTGTGAGGCACTGGGTTCGATCCTCAGCACCACATAGAAAAATAAATAAATAAAACAAAGATATTGAAAAAATAAAATAAAATTTAACTTCTTATTTTGAAATAATATTAGATTCATAAGTAATTATAGGAAATAATACAAAGAARGGAACTAGATGTGCCTTTCACCCAGTTTACCATCTTGTTCACTTCTTACAAAGCTATAGTACAGCATCATAGCCACAATATTGAAATTAATACAACTCACTTATTTTATTCAAATATACATGTATTCCTATATTGTGCARTTCTATGCTGTCATTGCACGCTAAGGTTTGTGTTCACCACTGCAGTCAAGATACAGAAAAGTTCTATCAACACAAAGATCCCTTGTGCTGCCCTTTTGTAAGCACACCCACCTCCTTCCCAGACTCCATCTCTGTCCCATCCCTAATCTATGGCTAGCACTAATCTGTTCTCTACGACTGAAATTTAGTCAGTTCAATAAAATTATATAAATCATATAGTATATATAAGACTGAACATATAGTTTAGACATGTAGTACTTCTGCTATTGGGATTGACCTTTTTCACTCAGCATATTTCTCTTGAGATCTGTCCAAGTGGTGTGTATCCATAGTTCATCTTTTATATTGCCAAAATATTCCATTTCATGAATACACTATAATTTTGTTTAAAACAACACCCATTAAAAGACATTTGGGTTATTTGGGGTCATAAATTTACTATGAAGATTATTGAGTTTTGGTATATACAGAAGTCTTCATTTCTGTGTCATAAATATCCAGGAGTACAGTGCTGAGATGTATGAAGAAACAACCAAATTATTTTGATTGTACMATTTTGCATTCCCACCAACAATGGATGAGTGATCCAGTTTCTTCACATTCTTGCCAATATTTAGGGTTTGATTTAAGCTATTCTGTAATAGCTCTGTATTATTTCTTACATTTTTTTAATTATAGCTATTCTGGTTCATGTGGAGTGTTACCTCATTATGGTTTTAATTTGCATTTCCCTGAACATCTTTTCACCTGCTTATTTGCCCTGTATGTCCTCTTCATTGAAACACCTTCTCATGTTTTTTACATTTTCTCTAATTAGATCACTTTTAACTGTTGAGTTTTGAGAGTTCAGTAGATCATTCAAAAATCAATGTTTGTACTTGAAAAAAAACATGAAGGTAAAACAATATTTTTCATATTTTCTAAAATTAGAATAATCTTTTATAAAAATTAACTCTTTTATTGATTTTATTTTTTTAAATACACAACAGCAGAATGCATTACAATTCTTATTACACATATAGAGCATAGTTTTTCATATCTTTGTATATAAAGTATGTTCACACCAATTCATGTCTTTATACATGAACTTTTTTTGCATTACAATTCTTATTACACATATATACCACAGTTTTTCATATCTTTGTATATAAAGTAGGTTGACACCCAATTCGTGTCTTCATACATGTATTTTGGATAATGATGTCCATCACATTCCACCATCCTTGCTAATCCCCTCTTAAGGCAAAAATATTTATTGGAAATTTAACATTTCTTTTACTRTTCTTTTTTTCTTACATTGATTTCCAGTCAAAATAAATTGAAAATTTTTATTAGAAGAAAATCATGACATCATACCAATTTTATAATATCTTTCCATTTTATTCTGGATATAAACTATGT